AAGTTGACTATGATACTTTGTGTTACTTCTGTTTTAGTTATACAGATTAAAGACACTTAATTTATCAACCTGAATCTGTGTTTTAAAAAAAATCCTTGTATGTATATATTTATGTATGTATGAAATGCCTATGGATTATTTTCACCAATTACACAAAACACAAGAATTTCAGTAGTTAGGCAGAGATTGACTGATGGGATTGTGCATGAATTGCTATATCAGACACTGGCCCAGGCCTGGTAAAGTTTATATATGATGACAAATGCCGACATAATCAGCGCTAAAAGAGCATAATATTGATGTTGTGTTTAATGAATGTGCAAAGGTCAATTATCTTCACATTTGGAGGCTGCACAGAACACTTGAACGGATCAGGTGCACGTGAAAAAAAACCTCTAAATATTGTGCAATTATTAGACTAATGATCGTACTGTTTGTAACAGGATGGGTTGTTTTTCTGTAGAGCGAAGAAAAAACATGTGTTTTGTGATCTGCTATGCTGCCTTCGAACAAAGTGAATGAATCTGTATGCATTTTGTATTTATGAAAGGGGCATTTAACTGGCTTTAGTGTTGGACAAGAACCAGGAAGTATGACCACATTAGTTCAGTTCTAGCCTGGCCTTAACCATCCGTAAACTCCGGTCAATTATTGTTTCCCTACATGAGATGAGTATGATTTGGTATCCTAAGAGCAGGCTACTTCAGTTCTCATGTCTGAACTGGCTTCCTGTGGCTTAGAGCGTAGACTTTAATCCTAACGCTATCTTCAGGTCAAATTCATAATCAGAATCATTTTTATTGCCATGTAAGCAACAGGAAGTCACAGACTAGGAAAATTGCTTTGGCTCTGAGTGCAACAGTCAAGGAAGAGAGGCAGAGAATGGAGTCGGCATATAAATAATCAGCATACACTTCTAAGGTTTGAAAAATAAAATTATTACAATATACAAGTGAACGTATTTTTTTTCTAGATACTTTTTGATCATATATCCTAACTTGACCAGCCCTGGGTCATTTAGATCCCTTTAGACCCTAATTTTAGCACAGAGGTATTTAAAGCAGCTCTGCTTGTGTACAGGTCCCTCAATGGCCTCGCACTAAAGTACATCTATGACATGTTAGTGCCATATGAACCATCTCAGACTTTGAGGAGCACAGGGACTGGCCTCCTGCTGGTGCCCAGAATGAGGACAAAAGATGGGGAGGGAGTATTTTATATTCATACAGCTAATCTGGAACATCCTGAAAATGTGAGACAGGCGTCTACTCTGACAATGTTTTGTTTAGCTGAGCATAGAACTGAAGGATTGTGTCTTGTAATAATAATCTATACTTTTAATTTCTATTTCTAATTTCAACATATAAGCTTCTTGCCTCAGCCTTCTCCTTATGAGCTTTGTTTCTGAACTATATCTATCTATAAAAATACATTGTAAGCTGTTCAAATAATCTACAACTATTACATTTGTTAAGCACTTTGAGTAGCCTTGTGTATGAACTGTGCTATACAAATAAACATGCCATGCCTTAGTTTTGTTTAGAGTAAGTGATCATTTACTTATAAAGCGCATATCACAGACAAATGCGCTTTACAATGTTTCCATTCACTCCACACAAGGTGATGACGGAAGCGAGATGCCGCACTGGCCTCTTTTACATGTTCTTCCTGATAGGAAAAACCGGAGCACATGGAGGATACCAACGCAGGCTCCGCGAAAACATTCAAACTCCACGCAGAAATACACAGTCAGAAGATGGAATTGAACTCTGAAACGTCTAGCTGTGAAGCCCAAGTACGAAACACTGCGCCAGTGCTCAGTCAAATTGATGAATACGGGTTGATTTCATGGTCCGTTTGGTTTCGAGTCACCTGACCGTAAATCTACATCATGGTAAACTAGGCAACGTTTCTGCCTACATACAACAGTCAATAATACATTCTGGAGGGAGGAAGGGACACCCAAAAGGCAATCACATATTAATTATGCTAATGCTTTGGATTTGCTACTTCATTTGGCATCACTTTAAGCTGGTTGATCACACATTCAGCTCAGCACAGTCTCTGCGGTAACTGAGGAGATACAGGAGGCGCCTGTGTTTCTCATGTGTGCTCGTTCAGTTGCACTGCATGTGGCCTCACGGGCTAATCACTGCGTTTGCTAATTACAACAGAATCTCATACAAAGCTATTGCTGTTGGCTGACAATCATATTTCATCTCAGTTTGGATTGCCATCTAAAATGCTAAAATGTATCGGTAGTATTCACAAAGATCATTTGGGTGCATGCTGCTTCTGAGAACTAAGAGGACTGCGTTTCCTTGGGTTTGGAATATAAGGCATGAAAGAATATCACTATCACGAGCAGGCCCGGTTCTGGCTCACTGCGTTTCTAGTGACATACATGTTGACCTGAAGAAAAACAAGGAAACACACAGGGTCCAAGTGAGACCTCAGTTCTCTCTGTCATCTAGATGAAATAGAACCTTTGTCACGGACACAAGAGGATGCACCTGTCAGAATGTGGAGAAGTCATTTACTCTCGATGTTTGCCTACGCTGCTGTAATAGATTTTCCTTTGTTCTCAAACAAAAAATAACACATGGTGAGGGTCCTGGAGAAATGTGTTGGATTAGCTAATACACACATCTTTGAGTGTGTTGGGCATTATAGTCAGTACTGGGAGTGATGTGTTACAAAAGTGTTGGCTAATGTAGTGCTTTTTGCTGTGTAAGAGATAATGGATAGTAGGTATAGTAGCAGACCTTCGCCCTGTCGGTACTTATTTCCCGATAATGACCTGTGTACGATACATTATCCCGCATATTATATGGCTTTGTACCAACAGAACACACAAACTTCAGTCCACTTTTATGAATGTCAAAAGGATTATTTAATGACTGTAAATAAAATAGTTCCCAAAGGTTTTCCCGTGGCTATGCGAGTAACAGTTAGCCTAGCAACTTCCAAACTACAACTCTCTTGAACTGCATGAAAACTGAACAAAGAATTCTGACCATCAGCGGTGAGTGACCCAAATATAAACTTAACCTAAATCCAATCCTCTGCAAATGTGTCCTAAAATGTCCCAAAATGTACTTCTGGGTTTATCGCATTAAAACAGTATTTTTGTCATGAAAACGTTAACAGATCATTCTGAAAACCTCTGTGCATGTGTATTAAGAAGGTTTATGTATAATGTATTCCCCGAATATTATAATGTGATTAATATTCAAATGCGTTGATTGATTGATATTTGCGTTTATTGAGCGTGGCTAGCTTCGATAGACAGTAGTAGCGACAAAGTGGCCGAACTACTTGCGGAGTAATCTACACATCTGAAATACAAGCAGAGGGTGCGTTGCCATGGACAGCGGCCATTATTGTTTTGAGAGGTCGGTTATCAAAAAATAATGACCGGTAGAACGTTTCGAAAATTCATTCAAATCAATGGAGCGTTCTACTGCTGCTGTGAGGAGCCGTGTAATAAAACGCTTTCATGGCATGAACGAAAAAGGGTAAAATTTTAATCGAGATAAAGGTCAGTATCGTGTGATACATTTTGTTTTTATACTATGCCACCAAAACATCAGCAGGAGAAAAAAATCTGCACCAAAAGTTGCCGCCTAGAGGTTATTTTCCCTTCTGACTGAAGATGGCTGAAGCTGAAGCAGGCACTAGGCACAGTTAAGTGCACTTTGTATGCAAAACCAAAAGCTCTAGCAACCTTAAGCAATAACGTAAATTACATTTAGTATGTGTGTCATTATATATTTTGTGAAAGTATCTTTGCAATAGCAGTAATAAGAAAAACATAATGTATTACATTTTAGAAGTAACTTGAACATTTTGGTTTTTAAAGTAATGGGCAACACTTCCACCCCACTGACTATGGACCAATGTTTGTTATTTTTGCACTTCCTGTGTTCCAACAGTTAAGATTATCTGATCTGGTGAATCGACAACTTTGGACAGTTGGTTGATCACAATCAAAAAAAAGTCCTCAGAGAATGTTGAATTGAAAAGACCGGGTTCCACAAACTAATAACTCATGCTAGCTCAATACTTGTGCATACCCCTTACTTTTTCAATCCACTGTGATTTGAGGTATCATTTTTGCTTCATTGTCGATTCCAAATAATGTGAGAAAACCCAACGTGTTTGTATTTTTTTTATTTTTTTTTACACTTTCAGTCAACAAGAGCTTGTTTTGTCCTGTGCAGATGATCTCAAAGCCGTCAAAAGAGGACAGTAACCAGTAGCATAAAAGCAGAGGCAGTTTTTGACATGCATCAAAATAGGCAAAGATTCAAACCCATCCATCGAGCCCACTTTAAGGGAAGCACCTCTATCAGGCCACCAAAGAGATCATTGGGAATAAATGAAAGTATTATCACCCTGACACCCTAAAATCGCTTGTTGTGTTATTGTAGCTAGTTTAATGCTGCAAATTATGCTTTCAAAACAGGTGTGATTATTGTGTAGCTTTTTTGTGTGAGATATTTCATGTATTAACATTTCATTAGCAGTTAATAGAAAAAAAAAACATTTACTTGTGTAATTGAATGCAAATTTATTAGAAAAATATCCAACACTGAATGTGCCTTACCGTTTTTGGTTTAGTTCATAATATTAAGCCTCCTTTCATAATATAAAAGCCCAAATTGTTATTGGAAATCCACAGCAAAAGAATGGGTTTAAGTGCTAATTGTTTTGCATATTTTTGAAAGTTATGGTTCCAAGAAAGAGTCCGAGCTGACTGACCCTCTGGCTACCAAGAGGCTATGAAAAGAAGAATGAATGTAACACAAACTAAAAAAATAAAATAAAAAAATTAGATATTGGGAAAATGCCCAGACAAACAAAACTGACCATCTCTATTCAATGTTTAAAGCAGCGCATTTTAGGCAGAGGTTGATCCAAGAGTTGTGTTGGTCCTCTGTCACACGACCACTCCGTCAATCGTCAGTTCTCCTGCCAGTCCCGCCTCGTCCAGGGATTTACTTCAGCAGTGCCTTCACAGCAGCATTCTCTGCAGCTTCAAAAGCGCACATGCCGTCTGGGCCTTTACAATTTTTGTCCGCTCCCTGGTAAGAAAAAAATAACAAAATGTATTAGTTGCATCTATATTGAACCTTCTAATTGAGTTTTATTTCCTGATTTACAGACTTCATTCTTCAATTCAATACGTCCAGTTCCAATATTTACAACACATTCAGGTTAACATCAGTTTGTTTACGTGTTTGTTAGGGTGAGGGCAGTTTTATTAAGTACATCAGTTGGTCAGAGGAATGTGATAAGCCTTGTTGGTCTGCCCAGCTTGAGCCTCTTAGCACAGTGCATACGGAGAACACGCAAAAGGGGCACAATGTGCCATGAAGAGACGAAACAATGGTCATCGGTTTGAGTCTGGTTAACCATAGGCAGATGAGCAGCGATGGAACCGCTCACTGAGAATGGAACATTATATCTGAACATTGTAAAGCGCTTTGAAAAGTGTGGTATATTTTTTGCTCAAAAGTGATTACATTTGGGAGTTGCATTGAGCTGGCTCCTGTGGATTATTAATTAAATTACTGAAGAAATATTTTTTATTAGTCACACCGTCTAAATCTGGAACAGTCTTCTTGAAGATTTGAGACAGGCTTCTTTAACAGTGTTCACATCCAGGTTACAAACAGTTCTGTTTAGCTATGCACAAGTGAGGGATTTTAACTTTACTCTTTCAAATGTACTGGGATCATTTATGATTTTAATGCCTTAGTGTGATTGTTTCGATCTCATTCTGCTCAGCACTTTGAGTTGTCTTGTGTATGAATTGTGCTATACAAATAAACTTGCCTGGCCTTGTTATTCAGTAGTAACCAAGTTTGTCAGACATGCAACCTTTTCATTGCATTTAAGCCAGTCTATGGTTGACGATTCCAACAATAATGACTAAATCCATTTGTTGCGATTAATCAATTCACTTGTTACAACTCTAGTACATAAAACAAATCTTAAGGACTTGAACGAAGACATTCATAACGTAATTTCATTGCCAACAATTCTGAATTCTATTAATTTGTATACGAGTAGCTGCTTATGCTTAAGAGGATAAACACTTAATATTAATAAACAATTTGAATATGCAGCTGATTTAGCCATTTACCCTAATGCAAATGTCACACGACTGTAGTAGCACGAACGACAAATCTCTGCAGACAATCTAGTCTGGGGCCAGAGAATAAAAACAAACTTGTGGATGTTGAGAAATTAAATTATTTTTCTTTCTACTATCAACAAATACTGGCCGCAGCAGCACAATTCATCTTACAGACATAGGTACGAACAGGCTCCTCTAGGAAAAACAAAACATTTGGAGTCTGATATGTTTTTAAAGATATGCCCTGTTGTTAAATCCCCAACACAAAAACTCGAACACAAAGTAAAATAAAAAATGTATAAAGCAGTGAAACTTTCCCAACTGTATTTGAGGCGTGTGGTTAGTTGTATTCGTGCTGCAGTCATGTTAGTTAGTGGAGGACAGGAAACCGGAGTCTCTTCAGCTCAAGGGAAGTCATTAACTGAAAGGTTCAAGAACATTCTTCCTAGCCAACTCCATAGACCTCATTTAGTGCAACAGGGACAACATTAGATCTGCACCTAGCAATCCACAACAACTGCACTTGGAAGAAAAACATGTCCACATCTGACCGCAAACACACAAGCATTTGAAGAGGTAAAATAATCAACACGCCTTTTGAATTTTAATTTTGTGTAACATTGAACTCAATGCTCTACAAATTAGACACGTTAATCTCAATATACTAAATATTTAAATTCTAATTGAATGTTAATGTGATAAATGTCAGAATTTATTTGGATTTTGGAATTCAATTATCATTTATATTTAATCTGCGGTCACTTTTTGCTCGTCCGGTTGTGCCCCATAATGCACTGCCAACAGGTACGCAGCATGCGGGGTCATACGGGTCAACCTCCATTGAGCAATTGGATTTTTCTGTCCACAGAAAATGAATGTCTAACAGTTCAGCCATCACAATGGGTTATTCTCAGTGGGCTACAATTATCCACTGAGGTGCTGTGACGCCATGCTACAGGAGCAGTCAGGTGGACTGGAGATCATGCAGCAATGATAAATCAAATGTGTGCAGACACTCTATAGTTTGTGTTAGGAAACAAGGAAATGCAAGATTTGTGAGGACCAAACACAACCATTTCAAATCCCTATCGTGTGTCATGATGACTTTCAAGTGGTGTTGTGTTTCCAAGGGGGAAACATAGGGCTGGGCGATATGGCAAAAAAAAAAAAATCTCCGATTTTTTCACACCAAATCCGATTTTCGATTTTAATCGATTTATTTTTTTCTATTTAAAAACAAACTACAACTGACAAAGAAATAGATTTTCCTTTATGCAGTTTAATCTAAATCCCCATGGAGCATAAGTGTAACAGGAATTAAGCCTTAAAACATGCTTGTAAACGAGATGGCTCTGCCATTGTAAACAGTGAAAATGTAGCTTAAAGACCTTATGACGGGTTTGATTTATTTAGAAATACAGTTTTAATACCATTTTATATTAGAAGAGAACTACTAAAGGTTTCAAAATCAGTTGTTGTTTTTTTTGTCTGATCCCCCCAAATCGAAATAACCCCATAACAACGCCCTTAGAAACGAAAAAACTTCACAGCCCTTGGTGACGTCAGAACGGGTATGTTTCAATGCTGTAAGTTGTTTACAATTTGGTATTTGTTCTTTTTTCGCGGATATTCAAGATGACAAGGCCGTGTACAGCGAGTCTAACATAAGTACTAGAACATATCATTTCATTGTCACTGAGGTAGTCCAGTGGTTGTGTCGATGGACTGCCAATCCAGATACTTGGGTTCAAACCCCACCCAGGACACTTTTTCACACTCAAAACGGCAATTTATGTGTAGTGAGCAATTGTCACCTGTAGAGTGCAGTATTGTGTTGGGCATCAGTGGAGAGAAGAGAGAAAAGGCAGTCCTGTGGCATAGATCCATGGTTTTCAATGCATGGGCGTAACCCGCTATGACGTCACACACAGGTTAGAGCATAGACAACTTAAATTCATGAAAAACACGTTCTTTTTATAAAATATAGGATTTTTTTTGCCGGAATCTCTTTCAAATTGACATTGTCATGCAATTTTGATATCCACTATTTTTTTTTTAAAAACCCGTCATAAGGTCTTTAACAGTTTTATAATAACTTCACTTACAATGACACTATGCACCTTCAAAATAACTTAAATCACACAAACAAGGCCCATCGCAAATATATCAATCCTATTAAACACATGCATTATTTACATGAAATATCAAATTTTTAAAACTGATTACTCAAAATAGAAATGTTGTAACAGACAGTCTTTTCCAAAAGCCTCCTCGGGTTTTCATGCTTGTTCTTTCAACTGTGCCTGAGTAACTGTGCTGTAGTACAACGCTCGGTCCAGCTGGTGGCGCTAATACTAACTTCAGTGGCTCCCGCATTGTGCGAGCTTCCTGTTTACATTCTGATGCTGTAGCTAACAGCTACTGTAGCAGCTACTGTAGCTAACAGCTACTGTAGCAGCTACTGTAGCTAACACCTACTGTAGCAGCTACTGTAGCTAACAGACAGCGGGGAACACGTTGTTTGTATCAGAGCAATGAGAACAATGTGTGAGGCGTGTCTTTCCCCAAAGTGCAGCGGCTCAGTGGGACACGAGTGTGTGCGCGCCACGGACACGAGAGTGCGCTTTGGAATAACGAGCGTGAGAGAGCGTGAAAGATGTGGCGTACGAACATGGCGTACGAACATAGCGACCGGTGCCTGCGTGTGTGTGTGTGTTTTGGCGATTAAATAAAGTCTGATTCTTGAACTTTTGAAGTGTTATTGCAACAGCACCAACTGTGAGAGCGAGCATCAGGCCAGAGGGAGACTGTTAGCATTAGGTTAGCTTCAAAATGACTGCTCAACACCATAGACCCGCGGTTAGCGCGTTAGCGCTGTAGTTCTGCGCTGGAGAAAATAAAAATCGAATTTTTAAAAAAAGAAATCGCCCTAAACGTAAAACTCGAATTAATGATTAAAATCGATTAATCGCCCAGCCCTAGGGAAACAGAAGTATCAAAACTCAAAAAGGTTCAGCATGACAGAACACACACTGCAGAAACATTCCCACTCCTGGAGACAGCAATGAGCATGTGGCTGCCCATTGATAAGTCATATCTAAATCATATCAGTGCTTTTACAACAGCCAAAACAGCTTAGAATCTGCAGCAGAAGGACAGAGATGCAAGAAAAATAGAAAAAAAACCTATTATTTATTTACCCATGCATGACATTAAGCAGATTAAAGGGTAAAAGTCCTCAATTGTAATATCTTTGTGTAAATATCTCATAATAAATAGTTTTTTGTTCTTTGTCTAGACACAAAAGTGAAAAGAGACCAGTAGATGTTGCTCCTCGGCTTTCTGCTTGACACTGGAAGACAACCAGACAACCACATCTTACTCTCACTCTTATTACCCACAGTAATTTTAAGACATGATGAACGATTGAGCTATATTTTTCAATACTACATTGTGGGACAGGTGCGGCTTGAACTAGGCCTGTCGCGATATTCAATAAATCAATTAATCGCATGATAATTAAAATTAGCTCGATCATTTTCCTGGCCACGATAAATTCCATTTGCATGCTTGTTTGTGGTCTTTAGAGTCTAGCGAGCAGACTGAAATAACTCAAAAATACAAAATACAGCCAAAACAGGACCTAAACAAAGACTTAACCAGGATTGACAATGGGGGACACAATTGTTGTTCTCATTCAGGCTCTAGTAGTGACTAGTAGTGACCAGGCGCTAGCGTTTTTGCCGATGCGAAAGTACCGTTTAATAATAAAATAAACTTATGACGCACCTCCGTGAACACATACTGCGGTTATATAAAGTCTCGCTAGCATGATGCTAATGGAGTTAGCATCAAGCTAGCGGCTTTTTACTTTCGCCACTTCCGGCGGTGGTCTTTAAAAATAAAAATGTATTTCTCTTTGAAAAGGTGTACCAGTATCAGTATCATTATCATTGTATTAGATGAAAATTATCTAGGAACAACAAAATTATCGCAATAATTTCTGAGACAATAAATCATCCAGCAAAATTTGTAATCGTGACAAGCCTAGCTTGAACGGCGACATAATATAGATCCTGTTGGCAGTTTCCAAAAATCCACTTTTTAATCTGATTAAAAAATATGATTTTGTTCATTTAAGTCATTATCTTGTGCTGAACACACTTTAGTTTCAATGTCGTTTTACCTACAACAAGAAACATCTGCTGTTTTATGGACAAGCTTCAGCATAACTCTTATTATGCATTGTCACTAATATGTAGTACACTTTTTTGTATCTTATATCTGTCTGCGGACCTGCCTTCTCAAGTTAGAAATCATAACATCCTGTAGTATTCGGGGGTTACAGTGGTGTCCCCTCATTCTGCTCTCATCCTCATCAGCTGCTCTGGCTCTACAAATGTCCCTCGATGTGACTTCTTTCAGCCAACCAGGGGCTGACCCTCTGAGCACATCAGGTTTTGTATCTACTCGCCTTGAGGAGCTAAAAAAGTACCTGGCCGGAAAAGGACAGCAGCAAATGGAAAAACTCTGAATTGGGGCTAAGTTGTGCTGAACTCTGTGGGTCATATGAGAAGAATGACACAGGTTTAAGAGGGGGTTTTAGATTACCAGTTCAGGACTAGAGGCGTGCGAGCTAATCGCTTAAAAGGCCTGCGTCATTTGGCACATGTCATTACACAGTAAATATAACAAAACAAGTACAAAAGTAATCACTTAGGTCATGTTTCTGTAACATTGGTACGTAGGACACGCTGCTCTTATACACTTTATTATTTTTGCTGGTCTCAACCTTAAAACAGGTAGCTGTTGCGCCACAGTTGGCCAGTTACTCAAAGTAGATAAAGCAGAAACTGGCTTATGACGATGTGTTCAGGAGAAGTTATGTGGAGCCAACCTGAGCGAGGGATATGCCATGATGGATGCAGGCTGCATTCCTGTACGCATGTTTTGTAGCTTGCTCCTCACTTCAGCCGACAAAGCCGCCATGGACGTGAGCCAATGTCACAACACTGCTAAATAAATCCCTAAATATTTGTGTTCATTTGTTTGATTTTGACTTGAAATGGACATTTAGCGAGAATAACCCGTGACATGTGGCCACTAATACTATTTCAGTGAATCGTTTTCTCTTTTATAGTAGTAATTCAGTGGGTTTTCAGTTTTACTTTTATAACTTGTTCGCACTGAGAACTAAAGCAATTTCCTAGTTTATGACATCCTGTTACTCACAATGGCACAAATAATAACTGAAGCAAAAACAAATGTATCACAAAGAATGGTTATGGGCTATAGATGACCAAAGACATTCTTCAGCCAGAGATCAAGAATTGAAATAGTTGAAGGGAGCCGACCTAAAATGCAAAACTACTGTTCACGGTTTTGTTTGTTCTATTTCTGTACTTTTAACCTTGTTTTATCAATGCACTTGTCTTGTGCACACTGGGGACAAATGTATTCCAATGTGGTTTTACTGCAAATGGCAAATAGATGAATCTGAACTTAAATTTCATGCCAAAACTATTTAAAACTACATCAACATCTGGCTTGAATATCAAAAAAACAAATTTAATTATTTTAATTTAATAAAATAAATTGACAAGGATTCCATCGACCTATTCATCGACTAAACAACTTGTTTTGCCTCTTTCAATAAGAAGCATTACAAACAACACAATGGGAGGCTGTGAGTCCATTCTAGAGTTTCCTTTGGGCGACAGTGTTAAAGGTTCTTTTGTACATGAGGTACCTCATCAGCACAGGCCTGACACATCAGCGTATGCTTCACGCACCTTTTCTAGTAGGATCTTAACACAGGAGACATGACCTTCGTAACAGGCGGCGAGCAGAGGAGTGATGCCGTGCTTATCTGGAGCCTGTAGAAGATCACACACATGTTACACACATGTTACACACATGTAACTTCAGGGAACACAGACCAGGAAACATTTTGTTTCTAAAGTTACGAAATACAACTTTAGAAACAAAAAAACGAAATACAAATATTATAGAAACATGAAACACAAATAGTAGCAATATGTATATGAGGAAAAAATGGAAGACATGTATATGATTTGCTTTTAAGTATAATAATAAAACAGTGTGAGTCTGAGGGGAACGAACTGGAATACTAGTCGGCTATCACAGACTTTGTTGACTGGTGTGAACGCAACCACTTGTGCTTGAACACCAGAAAGACCAAGGAGAAGGTGATCGACTTCCGGAGAAAACCACTTTCCCCACACGCTGCTGAACATCCAGGGGGAGGACATTGAGCTGGTGGACAAGTTCAAGTACCTGGGTGTTCACATTAACAATAAACTGGACTGGTCCCATAATACCAACGCCCTGTACAAGAAGGGCCAAAGCCGCCTCCACCTTCTATTTTATTTATTTATTAACCTTTATTTAACCAGGAAAGTCCCATTGAGATTAAAAACCTCTTTTTCAAGGGAGTCCTGGCCAAGAGGCAGCAAAATATACAGTTTAAGAATTACATACACATTACATACTCATTATAAAAAACATTTACAAGAGGTTGACTCTGAGGAGGCTGAGGTCCTTCGGATTGAGCAAGCCTCTGCTCAGGACCTTTTATGACTCTGTGGTAGCTTCTGCCATTTACTGCGCTGCCATGTGCTGGGCCCCGGGCAGCACAGAGCGGGACAGGAGCAACAAGCTGGTCAGGAGGGCCAGCTTCACTGTGGGCTGCTCCCTGGACTTGGAGGTGAGGGACAGGAGGGTGCTAGCCAAAGTCACCCCCATCATGGACAACACCTCCCACCCACTGCACAGGACTGTAGAGGAGCTGAGGAGCTCTTTCAGTGGAAGACTGAGGCCCCCTCAGTGCAAGAAGGAGCACTACCACAGGGCCTTTATACCCACCGCTGTCAGACTGTACAATAAGTCACTTGCACTAGGACTAAAAAACCTGCACTACTATTGCCACATATCCTGCATTTAACATGTTCACACATTTCTTTCTTTGCACAATCTTGAGTGATCGTATCCATGCCAGATGTGACATGTAAATTTCTCCTGTGTGAGATCAATAAAGTCTATCTTATCTTATTAGCAGCATGAATTAAAGATGGACCATGAGTAAAGTGATAACTAGAAAAGTAAATTATAAATAGCAATAGCGTTTTATTTAATATGTATTGAATTGTTTATTACAAACTTCCATATCAAGGGCCCAGCCACACTGCAAGCGTCAAACGCGTTACACCCAAAAGTTACGGTTTTCTACATGTTTATAAAATAAGCTGTGACAGCACTTTCTTCTAATAATGTAAAAGAGCAAAGTAGTGTTTAACACAATATAATGACATCTGACAGATGGTACAGAGGGTGCAACATTCTTGCGTTCATAAAGTACACCCTGAATGAAAATACATTCAGGATGACGACAGGAGCTGTTGAGCTGAGATACCAGCTGCATGCTGGCATTTCATACCTGCCCAGTTTCCTTTGCCAATAGGGCTAATAAAGGAGGCATGGAGGTTCCTTTCCTTACTATTCCTTGGCATTCGGACCCTCATTGTCCCGGCAGCTGAAGAATATCTTTACTGTGCATGCTCAACGTCCTCTCTTCCACTTCCACAGGGATTGGGGGTTCCCTGTGGCAGTGTTACAACAGCAGCCTTAAGCCTGGGTCAGGCCTAACATAAAAAGCTGAAGCTCCCCGTACCGTCCGAATAAGGCGGCAAGGTAAGGAACAATGACACTTCCTCTTTTCAGCCCTTTTAGCACAGGAAACACTGGGGATTCCAAAGCAGCAGTAAGATAAAGAGGCCACCCACAATACACTGCCCGCATCAGAGCTAGGTCTGCAGAATATTTATTCCACTCTGCTTTCTGTCTTGGAGGTGGTTCATGTTTATACTTTTGACACTGCAGGTTCAGTGCAGCTCTTTATTCATCCGTGTCTTTTGCACTTCGGTTAGTGTGAGGTTCTGTTTAATTTAAGAAAAAAATCAAATAAGGCCGCACATCCCTGTAGTCTGGGCTAACGTGCTGGATTAAAAAATGCAAGACTTAAAAACAGTGAAAAAAATCCGCACAGCTATGTAGCTCCCAATCAGTGTATTTTATTTACACACCAAACTGTAACGTTTCGGGCTGAGGCCCTTCGTCAGACATGTATGTTGCATTTAAAACATTGTGGGTGAGGTCTGAAAGGTTGATATATTTCTCATAAAGTCAGCATAGACGGAGTGCAAGTTTATTGCCGCTGTCTCGGCACCTCCCTTACTGCTCCTTGTGGTTTACCTTTTTCGGGACGTCAGTGTGGATGCACTGACAATTTCTATACTTCAACGCATTTCATTTTCAAAGATTTTGCCGTCAAAGATAAAAGTCTTAATGTAAACGTGGCCAGACTGTATGTCATAAATATTACGTAATTGAATAATGTCCAGTAAGAGCCCTTACATTAACATCAGCTCCTTTTGAAAGGAGGTACTCCACCACGTCAGCATGACCAAAATCTGCAGCTATATGTAGAGGCATTCTTCCACCCTCAAGCATTCTGTTCACATCTTGTGTCTGAAAAAGACAAAACAAATATATAAATAAAAACAATGCAAACACAAATTGAAATCACTCAGCATGTTGCTTGTTTCTATGATAACGTTCTTACCTAAATATTAGAGGTGTAAATATTAAATCAATGACCACAACTAATCGACTTTTAATGAACAACTAATGTAGCAATTGATTAATTTAGGAAAATGAATTGATTAGCTGGACGATTATTCTTTCGATGAATCAATTCGTTAGAGGTGGTTGCTTATTCCTTCAATTATTCGATTTGTTGCTTAGATCCCAACATTTCAGTGAATATGGGATTTTTGTTAGAACATCTGACAAACACAAAGCTCAAGTGATGCCCCTGGAAAACACATTGGTTTGTTGGATTTAAATACTTTGTAAACACATTTTGATTTATTTTCCCAAAGAATTATCAGAGTCAAAAAACAATTGACAGCTGTTTCAATAATCGCCTTGTTGAGACTGGTTACAGACCTAGCTTAATCATTGACTGCAGACTCCAACACACCTAAGGTGTTTGATCTGATTAAGAGCAGAAATTACAATAAAATAAAACAAGAAATGCATAAATGTCTCAATCTATGATAACATGGTTTAGTCTGGAATGGAAATATTAACCATTAGAATTTCCTCCAGTGGTGTCAATTAACCTTTATTTGGCTCAAACTTATATAAAAATAACATCTGCATTCTAAACAATGAATTGTTTAATCAAAGGAGTTGTCGCTGGGTTAATTGCTTCACAAAGTCATTTTTAGTTGCAGCCTTAAAAAATATAACTGGACCAGAAATATTATGTACACTGATAAAAACTGCAGAAAAGGGCACAGGAGGTTTGCCTTTGTAAAAAGCCACCACCAAGGTTTGATCAGGATTGATATTGACATAGGGAAAAGGGAAACAAAGGGAAAAGGGAAACAAAGGGATAATATTTAAAAGCAGGACATTTTTAGACCACTCCAGATCATGATCTGTGGCCAATCGATAAAAGCAACTATAGAATTCTCAAATACTTTTAACCCAACAGCCTGGAACACACTTAATTGAAAATTCTGCTTGAACGCCTTACGCCTCACACAAAATCGACAGTATTTTTGTTGAGTGCCACATAACACAAACTGTGTGCATGGGCTTGTGTTTGTACAGTGGAGACTTCTTTGATAGAACATAGATCCATCACATATCAACGGGATTCATGCATTCATGAGTCTCCCCTTGAGAATAAAAACAAAAAACATCGACGTTGTCGGAGCATTAGGTGCAATCAATCAGGATTTTTGAGATTCATCAACAATCACTAACATTGTGAATGGCCAATACCAATCATAATGACTTTGAGACAAATTTTTATTTATTATCATTATATGGTTAACGTTTTAACCAAATACACCTTGAACTTTTCTTCAATGTTGTTATTATTTTCACTTTAATTGAATGCATTATATTTTTAGTAAGTGCTCCATTGAAAGTATTAAGGGATATTCTGCCTGTAGATCTGACTCTTAAAAGAAAAAAACATGGCTTTTATTATTTATTATTGTGACTCTGGTATGTGAAAGGCGGTATATAAATAAAGATTACTTACTTACTTATTCATACTTGTTGATTTGCTTTGTAGTATTATTGTGATGTCACCAAATATTTCAGGGCTACAGACTAATCTTTGATTATTAATTTGAATTCTGTGCCAATGTTTAGCTTGTTGTTGTCGAAAATATGTTTGTGTGGACTGAATAGAAAAGGACCAAACATGAATTATACACATCTAAAGATTGTCCAATGCTAGAGAAGCAGTAGTAAATTTGTGTCCTATGAATGTAAGTCAACAAACTACACTGGAAAATAGGTTTAATGTTAATTTACTAGAAAGTATTTTAATATCACTTTAATGATCTGTCTAATTTACACACTATGTATGTTGTTACAGGAGTTAAATTCAAATGAATATTATCGCATGCAAAACGGGGTTAGTGTCACATGTAAATATGTTCTTCCCACTAAGAACGGCCAACAGGTTGCAGTGTCATCGTTATAAATGCATCAATAAAATAACAGATAGCAGACATTACATAAAAAACAGTATTTATGAACGGAGGGGTAAATAAACACGATCTGCGTAATAAATAATATAGAATAACATCGATTACCTGTGACTAACAAAACTTAACCTTTTATTGTAGATAGTTGTGCGACTTGTAATTCTCACTAAACACAATAAAGCCATTAGCTAGAGGTGTCTAGTTTTCATCACCAGTGAATTTGGTTCTCAAGACCTCACTATGAGATGGCCAGAACAATCCTAAACTTACGCTAACAAACAAAGCTAGCTTTAGGAGCTAGCCAAGCTCTAATGAAATGATCCGATGCCAAACACTGAGACAAAGCTTACCGTCACCAGTATTACTTTGACATCGTCCAGTTGTCCATTCTTCAAAGCCCACATTGGATCGTTGTCTGCCATCTTACGGAGTTAAATACAGGAAACTTCCAGACAAGTTGTTTGCTAGTGTGTTCACAGAAAGTTAGCAGCGTGTTGGCTAATGTCAACGCGACAGAGAGCCTACTGTTGCCTCTTGAAGTGCTGCTCTTTATGCGTGAGAGGAATGGTTCCGTCTATTATTACGAGTGTTTGTATCGACTTGCTGAAAGAAGAGTAGAGAAAATTCTGTAAGGCAAAGTAGAAAGGAGGGATCCGCCTTTCAACAAGCCCAAAGCATTTCCGATGCGTTCTACCCGGAAGTGAATCATTAAAGGGGCCGCGACAGTGCTCTTGGCTCGGTTGGCTCCCTATCACATCCATATATATATTTTTTTATTTTATTACAACTTTGTGTTCAAAACGTCGTGCCCGAAGGCTTTGACGGCTGGGTATTTAAAACATTATATCAACGATCTGCCTTTCCTCAACGTCCCATAGTTTATTTTTAAAAGAGTCCAGAGTAGGACAGTCCCAGTCTTAGAATATTATTAGTACTAGACTTATGAAGCTAGGATAAAAAAGAAACTGTGCTGCAAAAATAAAAATGGGTTCTTTATTTCTCTTGAAAGAAGCCTCCAAATCTGTGTCAGTTAACCTATCATCAAAACGGCAGTGGCACCTCTATGACAGGACAAAACAATACATACAGTCCACTGGTTACATTTCAAACATTAAAATGTCAAACAAAATACAACAATACAGATTGTTTCTTACCAAATATATAGTTGAGAAGGATGTAACATGCAAGCAAGTGTGCCTCAACAGCTTCCAGTTAAAACCAAACAGTGTGAGCTAACAACCACTAAGAAAAATAGAACACAAGCTTTTCTTAAAATATTTCTTGACCTGGTTACATTTATACTCTTATTAAGTGTTTTGTTGGCGTGTTCCTCATATGTTTGTTACTTTTATATCATCATGTTGCTAGAACAGAGTGGTCCATATTTAGTTATTGAATGTAACACGGTCTTGGCTTAAAACGCACAGGACCTAACTTTGAAACATATTTTTGCCCTCTATTAAAAACGAAAGAATATATATGTAAAACGTCTTCAGGGATTAGGGTCAATATTTGTCGTATGAATTTTAAGCAATTTCTGAGATTTTTTTCAGGGGAGTCTTTTATGTGTCTCCAATTACAGCCAATCTTATCAAAAGTTTTATACGATTTAAAAAATATACATATATTGAGCGTGCAATGGACATGATGCTCCTCTTTATGTTAACATTTCAGGCCCATTCATTTCTATCTGGGAGTCATCTGCATTGATTGGTGAAAGTTCATGTGTCTGCAGGGGAGAAAAAAATTGCTGCAAGAAGACTAACATTGAGTGGTTTTGTCCCTGAAACAAATGCAGGTGTAACACTAAAGTCTAGAGAAAGTAGGCTTTGAGACAGTAGGATATTGCCTAAAGTACCTAAATACCTAAAGTAATACAAGTAAACCGATAAGCATTCTCACCTAAATACATAAGCATTAACTGTTCTATCATAGGCCATACATCCGGCAACGGATAAAGCAGAAGAAAATGGATGGATCTTGACAAATGAGACCATTGTAACAATCTGTATTGACAATCAGCTTCTGAAAAAAGACAAAGTTCAATACAATATTTTTGTATAGAAAATTGTTTTACTTTCGTAAAATGATATGGTAGACCTAGCATCTATCTATATATCCAAAAATGAAGCATGTTTCCATATTCTAGAATGGCTGCAAACCTTACACATGGTATATCTGCATTTGCCTCATAGTTATTTTTTGGCCAAATTGTGATATCCGGCCTTACTTTCATATCCTTCCAATGTTGTATCATCCTATAATCTTATACAATACAGTCCATAGTTAAAAGAAAATATAAAACACGTATAGTATATTGCAAATCGAAAAATAAATATGTACATACAAAAGAGAACATTACAGCTGATGTACAGTATAAAGGCAAAACCTCCAGTAAGTCCATAATTTGGAGGTGAACAGCAATGAGCCAAACTCTGGGCTGACCAGAGTCTTAACAATTGCATTGTAAGAGTTCCTCAGTTGACACATTAATCTGAAATGAACATTACAAAGAGACACAGAATGGGCGGCACGGTGGCTGAGTGGATAGCACTCTCGCCTCTCAGCAAGAAGGTCCTGGGTTCGAATCCTGGTTGGACTAGGGCCTTTCTGAGTGGAGTTTGCATGTTCTCCCCGTGTCTGCGTAGGTTTCCTCTGGGTGCTCTGGTTTCCCCTACCACTAAAAATATGTACAATAGGTATGGCATGTGCCTCCTGTACTGGCACCCCCACCCAACAATTGTAAACCGCTTTGAGACTCCGATGTGCAGTGAAAAGGCGGTATATAAATACAAGCTTACTTACTACTTACTAGAACAGGAGCGGACACCACAGAAGGCAAACATCTCACTACACTGCTGTGCTGAGGAACCTTCAGCAGCAGTCTGAAGGTCTGACAACAGGGAGTTTCTGCAAACTAGACTTTTAAAAACTTTTCCAAAGATGAGCGGTGTACATGTGAGCAGTTATGTTTAAATAAAGTTACCTATATCTCAGGAGAGCGCATACTGAACTTTTGTAGCAGCACATTTGACTGGCCATATACAGTATACTGAGAGCTTATCCTTCACATTGGATAGGTCACTGGTAAATCTCTTCATCTGAGAAATTTAAAATGAAGAAATTTCATAGAAATACATAAAGAAATTGTGGATTTGTGCTCCTTTGCCTTTGAGCCTGCCTCCCCCCACCCGCACAGTGACGATACGTCACGCTAAGTTGGCAGTGAAAGCAAACTGTTCATCTTTCACCAGTATTTAGTCATTTCAGTCCTGAGAAAAAACCTTTACAAACATGGTAATCCATAAAGCCCTATGTCCTCAAACCAGAATCAAACTCTAAAACCGGTGAACACAACACAGATCAAAGAATCAAACAATATTTTGTGCAAAACATACAAACATTTGAGCAAACAAATCTATGAACATGAAGATATAGAATAGAACTACAAAAGTTGCACACGCTATTTTACTTTGCACACACAGTTTGACACCTGGATTGATAAAAAAATTCTCCTAAGTTTCAATTTGTCCAAACTTTCCATTCTTTAAAGGTCCCATATTAAGCTTTTCAACTTTCTATGCCTTAACCATCATACAGTGCTTTTGGCCTCCATAGAAGTGTTTTCATTGATTCCCTCAAACGTTATGTGCCGTTTCCACGAGGACGCTGCAAAAGTAAAACGTTAGAGTTGGGTATCAGATTGCCCTTTCATTTACATGAAGACGGTGTTTCAGGGGGGTGAAAACGCAAGCGTTGAAAAACAGCCTCTAGAGTGGAACAGAACAGATATGCTGTGCGGCGGGGGGCTGTTTCACAGATGTGTGAATTCTCTGGCCCAGTTGGGAAGTGGTGAGGTCATGCGCAGTTGCAGAGAACAAAGGTAAACAGCAACATGGACGAGAATTCTACTCCTTCATCCGTCCAAACGAAACCATGCAAAGCTCTTGTTTCAGTTTCCATTTTGTCTGCTACTGTTAAATTCAGAATTCTTTTACGTCTTTGCGGTGACCTGGGGCACATGTTGTTGCACTTGTCGTGTTGTAAAGTTCCACTGCCCCCTACTGATTGGGTGCTAGAACCACATAGTTTTCCGTCGTGTAGGCGCTGTACACTTCCAATAAGGAGCCTGGTCGTTTTTGATCATTGCTTTGCTGCGTCTCTGTCTAAACAGGGCCCTGGTTAGAGTGCAATCTTTCTCTTTCATTCTTGAGAGGCAACAATTTGTGAGAAGACGTGAGAAGCCCGCCTTCAGGAGGTGATTGACAGGGGGAGGAACTGAAAGAGCGAATCAGACTGATAGCAAAAAGACTGTTCAAGAGCTACAGTTAGCATAAAACGGGACTTACTCAAAACTCGCCGTATACTACTGGTCCTCTGAGATGACTACTTTTGTGATTTAGGACTATGCAAGAATCACATGAATTGAATTGAACTCACACACACATGAAAATATACCCCTTAATGTAGCCCAGCTTCACCCAGACTTGACCTCACATGGCCCCCAGCTGAATTGAGTTGGAGATTAGAGTCCAAAAGTGTTTTATTATAGCAAGGCAGTCAAGGGGATAAGAATTTGTGTCCGAAATTCCACTGTAAGGTGCTGATGTCAGTCTGCCCCCGGTAACTTCTTAAAAACTGTCCCCCTCCAGGCGTAAGGACAAGGTGGTAAAGTTCAGAAAAAACCCCGTGTTAACTGCATTCAAGTGTTGTCTAGTGTTTACAAAAGGGGACACTTGATTGGGCTGAGCACAATGATTGCAGGTGAATTAACCAATTTTTGTACACATGAAATTTTAATTGCCTCATATCCATAAATACCTTTGATGTAATTTGGGCTATGTTTTGGGCTTTTTTCTGTAAATTTCTTTCATATTATTTATTCTATGTCTAATACACACTTTACTTGAATATTTAACCCAAGACTACCTTTGCTAGGTCAAGTAGATCATTACATTAATGTGAAAATGTTAAACGTGAAAATATTTGAACGGAATTATTATCTATTTCAATGATATAGAATTGTCCTTAGATGAGAAATATTATTCAAAATGGACTTTTTCTCTCTTTCACACCTGTTAGATTCATCAACAACAGATCTGGAGTTGTTTTTAGAGCCATGAACACTAATATCAAGAACGTCTGGCAAAAACATAGAAATCCGCCCATTTTGTTTAAAAGCTCCTGTCCTGTAACAGCATGATGTCATTGCATCACTATGACATCATGACCAAAGCAGTTTTCTGCCTTTTCAAAACAAAATTATTGCCTCTGAATGATCTTGGATAATTTCCTGTATGAAATCACATTTATTCAAATCACATGGCTGTGTTTGCTGCTGGTAAATTTCAAATTTGGAATGAAACAAAACACATTTTTTGCCTCCATCTGGTGGTGGCATGGGGATAGAGCAAGCTGGTGG